TGATTATATATCCTGGGTTGAACTTTGGCTGGTAGAACAGTGATGAAAAAATCTGGCAGGTGAATCTGAAGAGGACTGTTAGTGAATAGTTCTATCATTTCTTATGAACGCAGACAGCCTAATTGTTCTAGGCACTGACGCACAATGGTGGGTTAAGATGTCACTTTCTATCTGTCCTAGCTACACTGATAGATTCTCTAATCTCAGACAAACCCAGACAAAAGCACAGAAACTTCACTATTTCCCGGAAACGCTTATGGATAGAAATCTGTACCAATGGCAAGCAATTTATTTAGTAGAATTAGGGGTAGATTTTTAAGAATTAAATTTGGATAACCTGTTCATTTTCTTTCAGCTAGTTCAGGCTGGTGCTAAACTCACTGTGAAACTTAGGCTGGCCTTGAACTCACAGCAATCTTCCTGCCTCAGCTTCCTGAGTGCTGAGATCATAGGCATACACCACAATGCCTGGTTTGGGTTTGAGCTTTTAAAATCCCTCATCATAAATGTTTCAAACAGCTTGGTTTCACCTTAGGTAGTTTTCTATCTACAGATGGCAGCAGAGGACTTCAGTCTAGTGTTCAATCACCACATGACAGTGCAGTGACTGACTTGAATATTAAACTACTGTGTAGCCTCTGTCTAATCTCTGTTCCCTCCCCATTTCATCATATACCTCTCATAATCCATTTCTTCATGTGGGTCTGAGCCCTGGCTTATTTAGAATTAATCCAATAATTCCACCAACAATTTTATTACAATTTCACTCACAAACATGGAGTCTGTGGGTGATACTGCCTTCTCAGCCCATCAACCACACAGAAGTGCTAACTCTGTCTTGGAGCCAGCAATTGCACATGCCCAAGGGCTCCACAAATGGCATTTGGTTGAATGCATCAGGAGCAACGAAAGTGGTGTGATTTCTGTCACTGAACTGGGTTCAGTGGGTTGTGGCTGAGATGTACTGGTAAAACACTATGGTATTTGCTGATTTCCACAGTAATCCCTCCTACATAGTTTCACTTTCTGTGGTTTCAGTTACCATTAGTCAACTCTGAAAATATTAGTATTTATCTTCAATCTTTCAAGACAGTCATCATTCACATAACTTCTACAACTTAGTTATTGCTGTTAATCTCTTATTGTGCCTAATTTATAAATTAAACTTTATCATAAGCATGTATGGATAGGAAAATACATAGTACAACTGAGGATTTAGCGCAGTGGTTCTGCTGCCTGCCTCGAAAGCACAGGGTCCCGAGTTTGATTCCTGGTAACTTTATTTCTATGTTTTGCTTGTTTGTTTTTTGTTACAAAACATTGAAATAAAATCACAATGTTTTAGGCTGAGGATTTAGCTCAGTGGTAAAATGCCTGCCTCAAAAGTGCAAGGTCCTGAGCTCAGTCCCCGGTACCTAATAATAATAATAATAAAGAATCATGCAAGGGCATGTCCTAAAAGTGGGGATTTCCTTAAATTTTGTACCCTAGACATTTTAATGGCCACAAAGCTTCTGCTAACCAATCCTAAGTGTATCAGACCCCCACCCAGGAATGATATCTCATCCACATTCATTAGTCAGCTTTTTTTTAAGCCTTTTGGAAAATAGCCATTTATTTTTTTATTTTTTTCCTCATTGAGTTTATTGGTACATTTTAGGTATATGGTACAGTTACATTCATTATTGGGATCTTGTACCTTTACATGACAGGTCATTACTCAGCTTTTTTATCTCACAATATCTTGGATACACTGAGTCAAGGTCTAAAAGTCTACCTCACTTGAGGCCTACTTCACTCTGCCAGACACAACAGAAATTGCTTTTGGTTCAGTTAGTCTCATTTATAAGTACCACAAAGTCCAACTCCTTACCAGTTTACTGAGTTTTGCAGAAAAAAGCAAGGGAAGGAACACAGCACAGTGCTAGCAGGCAGCATTAGATCTGCCCTTCAAGGAAAATCCTCACAGCAGTCCAGGAAAATTTTTTAACCCCTAAAATGACAGCACTGAAATGACAGTTAAAAAAATAGTACACAGGTGTGTGCAAGAGCCTCCCTAGTTCAGTAGTTCCATGCCACATGAGATAACAGTATCTCTTGAATCTACCAATCTTCAGCAGGACTGTTGATACAAGTCTTTTTCTTCTAGAACTTGAAAAGGAGAACATCTGAGTATGTATCACATTCAGAAAATCCCAAAACTATGCCTTCCCCTCAAACATTTATAGTTCATTTATAATCCTCCCAGCCCAGATGCACTTTACCAGTCTAGGGTTTTGTTTACCATAGATAGCGTTGATTCCACCTTTAGTAGCTGACAGAGAAATGATACTAGAAGATAAACAGGAGGCCATTTTCATAGCAGAAAAGACTTTATTAACTCTTTACTTATCTACATCAATGCACAACACTATAAAATTTCAGAGTAGCTGATAATAAAGAAAACACCCTAAACTTCCCAGATTTAAAAAAAAAAAAAAAAGTCTTAGGCTCACTGGCAGAATGTGAGCCTAGCATGTGTGAGGCCCTGGTTCAACACCCAGTACCACAAAACAGCAGGCCTCATTCAAAGTTTTAATAATTAAAATGGCTTTACAATTTTCAACAGTAGCTCCAGAACCTAGAAATCACTGGAGGGACATCTTCAAAATTCCAAAGAAAAATAAATTCTAAAATAGAAATCAAATCAACAAGAACTATAATTTGAGCTTAAAGACAGACCTATTAGACATGAAAAGTCTTAGAAAATGTGCCTTGATGTTCTATTTCTCAGGAAACTTTTATAGACCTCCCAGACCCATTCCACCAAACAAAAGAGTCATTCAACGAAAAGGTGCAAATCCAAGAAATAAGGTGTCTTAGTTATTTTTTGCTCATTGCTGAGACAAACTACTCAACAGCCAAAGTTAAAGGGGCAAAGGTTTATTTAGCTCACAGTTTGTAGAGGTTTCAGTCCATAGGTTCCAAGGCAGGCTGGCACATGGCAGAGGGCCAACCATTCATGGCAGCAGAAGACAGTAAAAGCAATGAGGGACAAGGCAAGCCTCTTTTTGTCCCTTTATATTGTGTTCAAGCCACCAGGATTAGGGTGGTGCCAAATCAGTGTACTGATTTAATAACCACACACTCTTAATCCCAGCATCATACTCTAGACTCAGCCAGCTATGACCACATGAGGCTTTAGGGGGTGGATATCTAGACCCTAACCATAACATAGGGGATCTCTTAACTGGGGAGAAGTAGCATCACAGAGAGATAAAAAGAGACTTAAGGACATTCAGCAAGCCTAAAGAGTATTTGATAGGGGAGGATGATGGGAGAATCCAGAAGGCCTATATCCAGGAAAAAAAAAGAGAAAGTTGTAGCCCAGTACTGATTCAATCCGGGCACTACTTTATGTGGAATTGATCTTTGTCAACAACAACAACAACAAAAAAAAAAAAAAAAAAAAAAAAAAAAAAGAGAGAGAGAGAGAAAAGGAAATAAGGGAGGATTTGATATATCTCAATGTATTAAGAAAATTTTCTATTTCTTTCAAATGAATTGGAAGTGAATTACTGAAGGATGTAAAATTTAAACAAACAAACAAAAATCATAAAATAACCCCAAGGAGAAATATGTACTTTGGCACAGAAAAATCAACTCTGATTCTGCTATGACTGGTCTTTACTGGGAGGTGAAGAATGGGGAAATCCACTCTCTGGAGAAAAGGGTGGTAGTTATCACTGACCTTAACAGCCAGTTCTAGTTCCCTTCTCCTTTGTCTCCCTATACTACTGACTAAAAAGGCTAGTTACCCTCTTTCCTAGCTTTTTTGTAGGTATGGATGACTAAGAAACTATTCTAGTAAATGATTTAGAATCAGAAGTCTACTAAAGGTTTTTGGGAAAGCCTGTATTTTCTTCATTATATAATTTAGTTATCATTCTTCCTTTCCATTTTGCACATGGATTCATGCCTAGAACTGTACCAGATACACCCCAAATATGAATTAAAAAATCAACATTCTAAGGATGGTAGAAAAGACAGAGACTGATTTACTGATGATATAGATAAGTGACTGCATAAGATAGCCTACCTCTAGACTTATTTAATGAAAACTTATCAGTCAAGTTTGTTTTAAAGCCAAAAGTGACAAAGGATTCTTAACAAACACATTATTTATAAGGGCTAAATATTCATTCTCAAAAAAAAGAAAACTTTTTTTTTTTTTGGTACCAGGGATCAAACTCAGGACCTTGTGCTTGAGAGACCAGGCAGAGGCACCCCTGAGCTAAATCCCCGGCCGTCCTCAAGTTTTTTAACCAAGAAATAACATGTTGAATCTTGCTACTTAGAAACATGACAGTAAACAACTTAAAAAAAAGAGCTAAAATAATCAAAACAGGTGCCATCGAGAAGTAGAAACTGGGGCCAGTCAGGCAGGGGACTGCTATTTTTCACAGAAAACTTGGTAGTAGCAGTTTTCAACAGTATTTCTACTGACATTTGGGGCCAGGTAATTCTTTGTTGTGGGAGACTGTCATATGCATGTGTTAGCAGTGACCCTGGCTTCTACCCATGAGATGCCAACAGCAAGCCATCTTCATCCCCAGTTGTGACAACTACAAATGTTTGTTTTTTGTTTTTTGTTTTTTTGATACTGGGGATTGAACTCAGGTCCTTGCGCTTGCAAGGCAGGCCACCGAACTGCTGAGCTAAATCCCCGGCCCAACTACAAATGTTTTTGACCACTCACAAATGAATGGAGGACAGAAACACTTCTGAGTGAGAACTCCTGCCTTATGGTGCTATTTTATTTTTTAACTTTTAATAATACAGTAAGTTCATTATTTTGATAAAAATTAAATTATCAATAGTTTGAAAGGAACTAGACTGGAAACTGAGAGAGTCCTTTCTCCTTTCAAATACCTCTCATTTTCCTTACCCAACCTCTGCCTGTGCCTAAGAATCCCATTCTTTTCCTCCCAAACAAGAATAAGCAGAAAAGAGACACTTACCACCTACAAATGCACACTCATAATGGCTGCAAGTCTTGTTTGTGCTGTGAAGGATAAGGTTATTGCCAGTCTCTTCCTGTGACACTTGAAAAACTTCACTCAGGGGTATTAAAGTAATTCTTTCACTTTCTTTACCAAAAAATTTTTCAACATCAACTCCAAAGCATGTGTAGATAGTTAAAACAATGTTTTGGTCATTGGCTACTTTAGGTTTCACAGAATATGCCAATGTGAAGTTGCCAAGTCTGGCTTGATTTTGTCCTCCAAATGTAAATGAAATGTCCTGGCTTGTCTTATATACCACGCTTTTGTAACTGTCTTCACAAGGTCTTCTCAGCAACTGCAGAGCTCTTGTGAGGTAAAAATGAAAAGCTTTGAACTGGAAGCCATAGATATAATCTTTTCGCGACTGGCCAGCCATTTTCACAGCTTTGTTGAACAGATGGTAAAAAGGAGTTTGCTCTTTAGCTTCAGAAATATACGTCATCAGGGCTATTCCATGGTTATCCTTAAACTTTGTAGGGAGAAACAGCTGAGGCTTCTGGGATTCCCATTTGGCTTTTGCATTTTCCCATGCAGTCTCCAAGAGTTGATGACTTGCTTTTTCTTCCTTGAGCAGTTGGGGAACATATTTCATTTCCATCCTGTCCGTACATTTCAGGTATTCATCATCAAATACATTATCTGCCATGTCTAATATTTCAGCCTTCACCTGAAATGAAGGAAAAGGGAATTAATATATATATTTTTTTAATCTGGGGATCAAACTCAGGACCTTGTCCTTGTGAGGCAGGCAGCAGCACCCCTGAGCTAAATCCCTGGCCTAGAAATTAATACTTTTTTTTTCTAGGTAAAGTTCTTTTTTTTTTTTATTGAATTTATTGGTACAATCTAGGTATACAATACAGTTACATTCATTATTGGGATCCTGTACCTTCACATGATACTTGATTCTCATTTTTTCCCCTTGTCCCTGCCCTCCCTTCACCCCTCCTCCTCTCCCCATTTACAAACACTTTATTTCCATTTTTTCAGTTTCTCCTATGTTTTCCTCTCCCTTATTACCTTTCCCCCACCCTTCCCACTTTCCCTATATCTTTAGCCCTTTACTTCCTATTTCACATTATTAATTATCTCATTAGGATCCTGTGTACTATTATGGTTTTTCACACCAGAGAAACTATTCGGTAATAGAAATTAATATTCTTGAAATAAAACATTTATTGTATACCATTTTCTCTCATTTTACTATCCTCACTGAAGAATTTTTATGTATGAAATCTACTGCATTGCTACTGATAACTTCTCTCAGCTATGACATATTTATATGAAAGAGTAAATGCCAGTCAATGAGAGGTATGGGTAGGATATGCCTGTAACTCATTTATTTGAACACTGTGGTACATAGAAAATCAAAGAACTGGGTGACCTCCTAATTTCGAACATCCTTAGCTAGGTTTCTTCAACACTCAAGACTGCTGGGAGAATTTGAAATACCATATGTTATATACTGTACACAATAGAAAAATAATGGCAAATATTACACTTTTCTTTTCTTTCCCTGTTCCATATGCATATAGTATAGGTAGGAATGATTTGTACCTCCAGCCCAAAGTATAAACAGATGATCAAGGTCTAGTAAGTAAGAAGAACATTATCAAAGGAGAAAATGGATTGTGTTTTCCTCTAAAACCATAAGCTTTCAGGCTAACTTTGGCTTGGGGTTTCCAATAATTACCCATGAAGTCCCATGGAGAGTCTTCTCTGAAAGTAAATCAACAAAGAAATACTTATAAAATTTAGATGAAAAAAAAAAAAAGAAAGAAGAGGCTTGGAAAACATAACTGCCCTTAATAATCGAGCTGTATGTGAAGATTATGTTTACCCAAGTCATAAAAATCAATAAATTCCTGTTTTAGGGGTGTAATTCAGTGGTAGAATGCTTGCCTAGTATACATGTGGCTCTGGCCTCAATTCTTGGTACAGGAAAAAAACAAACAGAAAACTCTGCTTTCTTGGACTAGTTTTGTCACATATGATGGAAACGGTCTGATGCATCACCTAAATGATACATGTGGTCATATACTATATGAAGCAGAGTAGTATAACATTAATTTGAAGGCAGATAGATCTGGGTTCAAATTCTATTTCCATTATCAACTAGGTCCTAGCTACATATGGAAAGTATGACATCTTACATTTCTGAATTCAAAGAAGTCAGTTAAGAATTTAAAGAATTTCACAAGGTTCAATTTAAAAATGAAGATGAAGTGGAGAAAATAATTTTCTTCTTTTTTTCCAGTGCTAGGGATCGAACCCAAAGCATTCACACTGAGCTACATCCCCATTCCCTTCTCCCTTTCTCTTTTTGAGACAAGGTCTTAACAAATTGCTTAGGCTGACTTTTAACTGGTGGTCCTCCTGCTTTAGCCTCCCAAATGGCTAGCATTAGAGGCATGTACCACCACACCTGGTGATAAAATAATATTTTAATTGCAGAACTGTTGTGAGGATTACATAATGAATATAGAGAAAGCCTTTAACCCATACATGGTGCAGATCAAACCTTCAATAAAGTGGTTATTAATTTATTTAATACATATTTACATTACATAATGTTTACTTTTCTTGTGTGGAGTTGCTACATGTACATATCTTAATTCCTTTTTTCATCCCTTTTCCCTTCCTTCCCTCCATCTCTTTTTCTTCCTCTCTCATTGAGTTTATTGGTACATTTTAGGTAGACAGTACAGTTACATTCATCATTGGGATCTTGCACCTTTACCTGACAGGTCTTGATTCTCATATTTTCCTCTTGTCCCTGCCCTCCCTTTCCAATTTGAGAATGATCTCCCTACTTCCTATTATCTATCTTCTATTCTGCTCTTTATTTGTAGTTTGGGGCATGCAATATTTAAGCTTATGTGACTGACTTATTTCGCTTAACATTATGGTTTCAAAGTTTTAGTTTTTTTTTTTTTGGTACCTGGGATTGAACTCAGATCCTTGTGCTTGCAAGGCAGGCAGGGGAACCACTGAGCCAAATCCCCAGCCTGGTTTCAAAGTGTTTTATTACAGGAATTGTGTATTATATTGTGAATTTCTCAAAGGCAGAATCTGAATCATATTTATCTTTGAATTCGAAGAATCTAGCATAAAACATAACAAAATATTCAGGAGAACTAAATAAGAACCCTACACTTTGACTTATGGACCAAAAATAGGATGAGCAAATCTAGGGAATACTATTTATGGATTTCTATAAATAAAAAGGTAATGAATCATATAAGTCTTCTTAGGAACCTCAGAGGAAATCTTCTGGAGATATTTATTAAGGCACTATTAAAGTTATAAATTCCATGTGAATGCTTCATAAAAAGACTGGGGGGGGGACACAAGGGTGGGAAGGAGGGCAGGAAGGGAAAGAGAATAATTCTTTTTACGAAGCAAAGCAAAACCTGATCCCACATTCTCTTCCCACTATCTTCTTCCCTTCTTCACCATTAATTTGAAGGAAATTTCTATTTTTGCTAACTTTATTTTCCACTTGTCTCTCAACTTTCTCTATTCTGCTTCTATCCCCATTCCTCCCATACAGCTATCATTAATGGGGCATTTCTGTTCAGAACTCCTTTGCATTATTCAACATACTCTTGCTGGTCACTTAATGTTGGAATTTGTCAAGGCAATTTATTTTTAAATTCTCAACTCCACCCCTAGGCAGTTACACACAAGCCCATAGTTTCAAAGGTCATGTAAATACCTCTGACCTGCCCTATAAATGTCATACCTATATATCAACTGCCTACTCTGATACCTCCATTTGAATGCACAAAGACCCTTCAAATGTAACATGTCTGTGATATTAACTGATTGTGTCAACTTGAGTAATTAATAACCAACTAAATTGGCTCAGCATAGTTCTGGGTGTGGAAAACCCATCCTAGGGAGGACTGTCTCCAGCATGTTATAAAAGGGAAACCAAGAAGGAAGCTTTGATTCTGTTTCTTTGGAGGAGCTCCAGTTTTCACCTTCACCTTGGATGTTCTCTCCTGGCTTCATGCAGATCCTTCAGCCTTTCAGTGCACTCTTCAGCCTCCAGCACAGACCCTTTAGCTTCCTGATATAGACTTGCACAGGACACTACAGTGGGCTCCAGGCCTTTGACTGGATCCTTTTGATTTCCATAGCATAGACAGACCTTTGCACTCCTCTATACCTGACTCTGTGGGTGGCCACTGAAAGCCAATCTTGTAAATTCTTATATATTTGTATATCTTGCATTAAATCTGTTTTTATAGTAAGCACTGACTGATACAATATTTAAGACCAAACTGATAAACCTACTGCCTACAACCACTACAAATAATCACCTGGTTCTTATTTAAGAGCATCTGTTCATTGTTGAAGTTTCCAAGATTCCTCCTTCAGAGCCCTAGTAAAGCCACTCCATCTTTAAAGCTGAAAAAACAGCTCCACAGTTCTCTATGTCAGGCACAAAGTGCATAATATAAAGTTCCTCATTTATCCTTATGGAAACTTTGTGAAGCAGGTACCATCATTGGCCATCCCACCCCTGCCTTTTTTGGCAGTACTGAGGACTGAACCTAGGACCTTCAGAGAAAACTATATTTCCAGCCCTTTTTGTTATCTGTTATGAAATGGTCTCATTAAGTTGCCCAGGCAGGGCTCAAACCTGTGATCCTCTTGACTCAGCCTCCTAGACAGCTAGAATTACAAGGCATGTACCAGCATGGCCAGCTTCATGCCCACCTTTTTTTTTTTTTTTAAATAAGGAAACCAAAATACAGATAGATTCAGACTTAATGGGATTTTAAAAAGCGGTTTTGTTTTAAAGTCATTCTCCTAACCAAAATGTTCTATTGCTTCTAAAGAATGAGAAAGCTGAGCCTGGGCCACGATCCACTGCGGGAAGGAGAGCCACGCCCTCTCCCTCCTGGAGCCACCATCACTGCAGCACCAGGAAGGTAGCCACGGGGGCACCCCTGAACCCCCATAACTCCCCTTACCCCCACCACCATCCCGCACACTCTCAGACCTCTTGCTTGTGCCAGTCTTTGGACCGACTCTGCAGAGGCAGACGTTGTCATAAAGGGTATTTTTATGAGTTCCCAACTTTGAACATCTTTAAAGAAAGGGCGTGGGAAAACTGTAGTAGAACAGTGTGGAGTTCAACCGTTCAGAAGGTTGGGGAACTCAATCTGGGCCTTGCAGCCTGAGGTCAGTCTGCATCATGGGGTTGCCATCAGCTAACTGAGAGCAGGGGTCTTGTGTCTTAGCTCTGTCTGAGCCATTAAATGGTAAATATACTATAATGAAAAGTTTGTTCACTGCAGAAATGTTCTGGACAGCTTCTTGATTTCAATTTAATTCAAATGGTTTAAGGGTGATAGACTAGTGACTACCACAGGTGGTCAGTTTCCAAGTTGTGCTTAATCATAATGTGTTGCTGATTGTATCAGTTGGGATAAAGGATTGTGGTTGATTTGATGAGCTATTTTTTCTGATGTCATGAAGATGAGAATGTCTGTGGGTCGTTAAAGACCCAGAAGCTAGGGCGCAACTATATCAGGAAGATTTGGGTGATAACCCAGAGATTAAACCAAGGACAGCTTGACAACAAAAATAAAAATGAGAAAACACTTAAGCAAGACACAAAGACAGACTTCCAGTTCACCAATGGCAAGCGGC